AAGACTAGGCCTGAGGATGGAGTAACTCCAGGCCTGAGGATGGAGTAACTCCAGAGTCTCACAAAAAGCTGAGAATAAGCCAAAAATGTAAAGAAGAAAACCAGAGTGTGGTTTTATGACAGACAGAGAAAAAGAACACTCATTTGATGCTTATCTTAAAAACAGATTATCTTGAAATTCTTACAAAGTGTTCTGTATGTATAGCAATAAAATAACCTCAGAAGTTACTCAAGAGTTATATTTTAATCTTTGTAACTAAGAAAAGCTATTGAATTTTGGTTTGATAGGAATGTAAGAGGAATGTATACATTAAGATTTGGTTCCACTAGTATCTTGAAAGTACGTTTTTGTTTTTGCATCTGTCACGTACCATGCAATAATGGTAATAATGATATTAATAGCCAGAACTCCAGCATAATTTAGTTCTACAATAATAGTGAAATCACATTTAAAAACTCGATTTCATTTAGGATTCAAAAACAGGAAGCACATTTCATCGCATTTAAATTGCAACAAGAGGGGCACCTGGGTGGCACAGTTGGTTAAGCATCCAACTCTTGATTATGGCTCAGGTCATGATCTCAGGGTCATCAGATCGAGCCCCACATTGGGCTCCACGCTCAGCCGGGAGTCTGCTTGTGATTCTCTCTCTCCTTCTGCCCCTCCCCCACCACCCTTGCTCTCTCTCTAAAAGAAATAAAATCCTTAAAATAGAAATAAATTGCAACAAGATCCTTTACAAGTGGGCATTAATGTCTCTATTTTATATATGAGAAAAACCTAAGTCAAACAGATTAAATTACTTAATTGCCCAAGGGCCTTAAAGGTAGTGACAGCTAGGGCTGACATTCAGCCTGACTTGAAAAGACTGTGTTCTATCTCCGCTGAAATACCACACCACTTGCCACAAAAGCTGAGGGCTCTTCAACTGAACATGTATAGCTCTTTCTGCAACAGTAGTTCTCATTTTCAAAAGGAATATATCATGATTTATTATTATAGAACACAATTTAAAAACTGTACCTCTAGCACATCCAGATAGGCAAACTAACTGTTCCTGCTTGAAACACTGTTAATGTGGAGTCTCAGGAATTTTATTTGAGAGGGTGGGAGTTCTAACGTTAGACAAAAATTCTGAGTCAAGCATCCTCCTTGAAAATCTGTTCAGTTTTTAGGAGCAAACTCTGGGTGGCTAGAAGCATTGTCTGCTGAGAGCATCACTTTAAAGCTGTGATTTAGGGCCACCATAAAGCTTTTATTTATTTATTTATTTTTAAAGATTTATTTATTTTAGAGAGAGAAAGTGTGCGTGCAAATATGCACACAAGCAGGGGGAGGGGCAAACGGAGAGAGAATCTTCAAGCCGACTCCCCGAAGAGCAAGGAGCCCTACTCAGGACTTGATCCCATGACCCTGAGATCATGACCTGAGCTGAAACCAAGAGTTGGACACTTAATTGACTGAGCCACCCAGGTGCCCACAAAACTTCTATTTAAATGGTTACTTCTCTTTTAATTCTGGCAAATAGATGAATTCACATAAAACCTTATTTGAATGGCTTTCCCCTCTGTCATGATAGTTAATAAGAGTAAATACCTACTGAGGGCTGAGCTCAAGTTAGTGCTGAGGGGAGTGGGGATGGGGAGTTAGAAAGAAACTAAAAGCCAGAACTGGAACACAAACTTAGTTCTAACCAAAGATTGGATTTGATCAGAGATGGATTTTGTGTTTACACTGTAGTTTCAGAAACATTTACGATGAATATTCCTGTATTTCTTACAAGAAAGTTCTGTGTGTCATGAACTTTCTAACCCCTAACACTCCATTTTTCATGGAATCATGGATTTCAAATTAACATGTATCTTGATCTTACAAGAAAGCAACTACTGTGTTATTGGATAAGAAACTAAATAGACATTTTAATGTTTTCAATTGTTTTGTGAACATGCAGATTAACCTTCAAAAGTAGGCCTTGGGGGGCGCCTGGGTGGCTCAGTTGGTTAAGCGACTGCCTTCAGCTCAGGTCATGATCCTGGAGTCCCGGGATCGAGTCCCGCATCGGGCTCCCTGCTTGGCAGGGAGTCTGCTTCTCCCTCTGACCCTCCTCCCTCTCATGCTCTCCGTCTCTCATTCTCTCTCTCTCTCAAATAAATAAATAAAATCTTAAAAAAAAAAAAAAAAAAAAGTAGGCCTTGGGGCACTTGGGTGGCTTAGTCAGTTGAGTGTCCAACTCTTGATTTCAGCTCAGGTCATGATCTCAGAGTCCTGAGATCGAGCCCTGGGTCAGGCTACAAGCTGGCCGTGGATCCTGGTGAAGATGCTCTCTCTCTCCTCCTCCCTCTCAAAAAAAAAAGTAATCCTTTTTTTAAAAGATCAAAATAAAAGCTATCTTGTTTCCAATTCCAAACTGAAATTACAGATGGCTATGGTGACTAAATCACACTCCATGATCTTTCAACAATTTTGTGTTCTTTTCTCTTCATGTTTTTTGGGATTCCAGCAGATTCAGCATCAATTAAATAACCTGGCTAAAACCTTCAATTCTTGGGGTGCCTGGGTGGCTCAGGCGGTTAAGCACCTGCCTTAGGCTCAGGCCATGATCTCAGGGTCCTGGGGTCGAGTTGTGCATCCAGGTCCCTGCTCGGCTCTGCTTCTCTCTCTCCCTCTGCCGCTCCCTCTGCTTGTGCTCTCTCTCTCTCAAATGAATAAATAAAATCTTAAAAAACAAACCAAAACAAACCTTGAATTCTTTTCAAAGCTGTCAGTTGTAGGATAACCACCACCTAACATGCATAGTTTTATTTAAAAAATAAACAACTATATTTGGTGGCGTTTTTGTAATTTTTTGTTGTTGTCCTGCACTTTTAAATAATACTATTATACATGGTTTCAGGAATTTGGCTCAGAGAAGTATAAATTTCCTAAACTGAATCTGAAGACTCAGAAGGGAGGGGAAAGAGAAGGAAAGAGGCTGGCGGTGAGACAAGGAATTTCCACTTCACTGTTACGTAAACCCGTCTGCCATACAAGCAGAATTCACTGAAAAACCCATTTGGATAATGCTTTCACTGTCTGCAATTATATCTGACTATACCAAGCCTATCTTGCCTCTGAAACCCTAAATCCAGAGTTAACATAGTCCTGTTAACCTAGATTCTAAGTTCACAGAAAGCAGAGGCACAGGATACCCTACCAGAGACAAGGGAACAAGCCTCGAGATGCCAGTTACATACTGTTCAAAGTCACCCAACTAGTCTGCAGCAGAGCTAGAATCAGAGAACAAGTCTCAGAACTCCAGTCTTTCAGTCATTCAACAAGCATTGATACCTCCTATGATACTACTATGTTCTAGTCATGGGAGATAACAATATATTTACAGCAAGCAAGGCCCCCCAAAGTGATTCTATAAAAATAAATTGTGTGCTTCATTTTCACTTCCCTAAAGACTCAAAGATAGCTCTCTGAACAATAAATTAGTTTCAGAAACTAAAAGTATACCTCCAAATGTGGAAGAAAAGTTCTGTTACTTTCAAGGGCAATCACTTTGGCCTTGCTTTCAAGTAATGCTTGAGTCAGGATTCCAGGACCTAGTGTTAACAGAAGGAAAAGTTTATTTGCAAAACAAGTTCTCTCAATATCGACTAGAGTAGATGTTTCACATGTATTATCTAATTTTGATCCTCACACTATCCCCAAGGTAGATATTACAGTCCTCATTTACACGTAGGAAAACTGGGGATTAGATAAAATCATTTGACTCCAACATCACAACTGGTAAGTGGTGCTGCTTGGCTTTGAATCCATTCTGTCAAAGCCAAAGCCTGACCTCTTGATCATAATGTTTTACTATGTCTCAGGAAAAACAAAGTTGCCTTTAGCATTCCACTTATTCATGGACTACCCAGATACTTGAACCAGGAAAAGATACTGTCAAACCTAAACAGAACTGACTCATGACAGGCAGTGCTCCTTTAAAAAAGCATTTTTTCAGGGGCGCCTGGATGGCTCAGTCGGTGGAGCATGCGACTCTTGATCTCCGGGTCGTAAGTTCGAGCCCCGCGTTGGATACAGAGCTTAATTAAAAAATAAAATAAAATCTTTACCAAAAAAAAGTATTTTTCAGGAAGTCTATAAATCTTATGTTCTAGGTATCCTGCTATGGTCTCTAGGAGGCGTATGTAAAAGATAAAGTTTTTTGGGGGTGGGGGAGCTTGCAAGTATTTTGAGGAGAAAGTAAAATCTAGGAGCATGTTTTATCAAATGCTGTATGACGTGCAAACTAATGCAGGTCATGACTGAGACCGACCATCCAAGCTGCTTCTTGGGGCCATGTCTTAAACGGCCCCCCACGGGCGGTCGAGGGAAGTTGGCACGAGCGATGAACGTCCAAGGAAAGGCAGTCCCCGGCGGACTCACCTGGATTGCACTCCAGGAAAAGCTGGTCAGGGTTTTTCCCTTCTTTCTTCAGGATCTGCACCAAGGTCGTGGCCAGTTTCGGACTGGTTACGTAACTCTTGGGCTCTGAGCGGTACTTGGGCAACCACGAGGGCGAGTCTCTGAAACCCTGACTAGGCACCAGCTGCAGATGGAGGTCAGACAAGCCCCGGCGGTGCCCGGCGCGGACGCCCCTCCACCTCGCCACTCCCGACCCCAACACGCAAAAGCGACCAGCGCCGGCCAAGGCTGAGAGCGCTAGCCGCGCGGGGAGCCCCGTCACCGGGACCGACATCTTCAGCCTCTAAGGTCTGTCCCAGCGTCACCGGAGAGCGTCACATCGCCAGCGAGCTCCGCACAGAGAACTCCACGTGTAACATCCTCCTACCCCCCGACTAGGCCGGGCAGTACTAGACACTTCAAACTGCGCATGCGAACGGTCTCTTCTTCTTGCCGTTTCCCTCACTTCCGTTTCCGTCCGGGTGAGCCGCCCGGGAACTGTGAGTGGACGGACGAGGAGAGAGACGGACCATCCGGGTTGCGTCTGGACTGGTACTCTATGGTTGTCCGCCCTCCCCCCCCCCGCTTCCTCTCTAGCCGCTCGCGCTCTATGCTCCGCGGTCGCGGGCGGCCCGCCGCCAGCCGGCCAGGGGGGAAGGGTGCGCAGAGGGAGGCGGGGCGGGAAGGCAAGAGGTGTCTCCTCCACCGGAGCGGCGGGAGACCCGAGTAGGCTCTGTGACAGCTCTTCGGCCGCCATGTCAGCGAGCGGGGCTGGAAACACACCCGGCGCCCAGCCGTAGCCCTGTGTTCGCCTCCGACTCCCAGGTGAGGAGAGAGGATGAGCGGGATGTGGGGCGCCGGCCGGCTGGCGGTCGCGGCGGGAAACCCCCCGGGACCCCCTCGCTCCTCCCCCGGCGCCGCGCGCAGCCTCTGCGCTTCTGGTGCGAGGCAGCCCCATGCCCTCCGCGCTCGCCCGCGCGCTTCTCGTTCCTGCAGCCCCGTGTCCGTGCCGTGCTCGCCCCCCGCCGCTGCCCTGGCTCCCCACCCCGGGGACCGTCCTTGTTTGCCTTCATACCTGTCCTCTCCGCCACCACCGAGAACCGCCCGGGGGTCTCCCTTCCGTACCTCCCTCCGGGCCGGTATCGACCTTAATTTTTGTGTTTAATTTGCGTGTTGAACAGATTTAAAGTTAAGGGTTTTTAAAATTAAGGGTTAAGAGCTTTAAATCCATTTGTAAGCTTAGAAAGGTTGCGACCTTAGGATGCTTATTTTGATCCCCGCATAAACTTACTCAGATACATACTGTGGAATGCAATTTTGAAGACCAATTCCAAAGACTCTAAAAATAGGGTGCTCTAATGGAAATTTTGGCAGTCTTCTTACCTATTGGGAAATGTTAGAAGACTCGAGTCTCTGAGAGTGATTTCGGGGTTTAAGGATTATACTCAGAAAGAGACCAGTACTCTTTACACCAGGGCAGTAAACTGTAGCCAGTCAACACCCCCATTAAAATATGTGCAATCCTTTCTGCTTACTCGACTGGGAGCGTAATTGAGCTTGGTATTTATATGCACGAGGAAAAGGTTTCTAAGGAATGTATCACCTAGCAAATTGAAGTCTGAAGATTATACTCAGCTGATGAATGTCAAAATGGATAAAGAAATTTGACAGCCAAATATGTATGGCGTTTTGGAGATTATAAATTTGCTAGGACACCATAGAAAGTATCTCACCAACTGTTGTGGAAGCCTTGGGGACTCCTTGGTCTAAATTTCCTCAAAAAAATTTTTATACGGTTTCCCCACTGACAGTTTTCTAGAAGTGACTCTTGCATCCTCTGGACACCTGAGAAAGCTTTTCCCCCTCCATTCTTTAAAGAGCTTTCTCCTCTTCTACCCTTTTAAAAATATTTTCATAGATTCAGAAATACAGTGGGTTTTTTTCCTTAAAAGCCCTGGAGGCCTGAATACTTTTAAATCAAATAAAGAAGAAAGATGTCTTATGATAGAGGAAGAAATGGTTTGCTTCTAGAAATGTGTTGAGTTTCTCACGTTTAAAATACACTTCTAAAAAAATCACAAGGTATTTATTTTAAAATGTTTTCTTATTTCATAAGGTTTATGGACCAAAGGTAGCCTACCCAGCCCTAGAGAAATTCTTATTTTGCTTTTGTGTTGTTTTTTTGTTGTTGTTTTGTTTTGTTGTTGTTTTAGTTTTGAACAAGAGAGGTTATAAGTATTTCCCTTTTTATAATGTTAGTGGTTGGTTGTGGTTGAAGGTGCTTGAATAATAAAGACAAGATCTTACATATCTTTCTGAGGCCCTAAGTACTGGAAATGAAAGAATGTTAATTTCACTTTAAAGATATATCTTATAATCAGGGGCACCTGGGTGGCTCAGTCGTTAAGCGTCTGCCTTCGGCTCGGGTCATGATCCCAGGGTCCTGGGATCGAGTCCCACATCGGGCTCCTTGCTCAGCGGGGAGCCTGCTTCTCCCTCTGCCACTCCCTGCCACTCTGCCTACTTGTGATTCCTCTCTCTCTCTCTCTCTCTGTGTCAAATAAATAAATAAAATCTTTAAAAAAAATAAATAAAGATAAATCTTATAATCAGCATTCAGATCTACTTTATTAGAGAAACTTGGTTTGTGTATTTCCCACCTTATTTTCTTAAGAGGTGTAGTTTCTGCATCCTGTGCTATTTTTGCCTTTCTTTTTTTAAGATTTTATTTATTTATTTGACAGAGAGAGACACAAGCGAGAGCGGGAACACAAGCAGGGGGAGTGAGAGAGGGAGAAGCAGGCTTCCCGCTGAGCAGGGAGCCCAATATGGGATTTGATCCCAGGACTCTGGGATCATGACCTGGGCCAAAAGCAGATGCTTTACGACTGAGCCACCCAGGCACCCCTGTTTTTGCCTTTTTTTTTTTTTTTTAAAGATTTTATTTATTATTTGACAGAGAGAGACATAGTGAGAGAGGGAACACAAGCAGGGGGAGTAGGAGAGGGAGAAAGAAGCAGGGTTCCCCGCAGTGCAGGGAGCCCGATGTGGGGCTCGATCCCAGAACTCTGGGATCACGACCTGAGCCGAAGGCAGACGCTTAACAACTGAGCCACCCAGGCGCCTCCTATTTTTGCCGTTTTGAAGTCAAGTAGTCTTTCTTTAAAATGGTGTCAGGGCAAAGTGATTCTGTTTTTACACTCTTCTTAAGTTATTTTTATTATAATCTCAGTGAATCCAGAAAATAAAATACTACTTTTTCTTTTGGCTTTTATTTTTATTATTTTTAAAAAGATTTATTTATTTTAGAGAGAGAGAGCGTGGTGGGGGGAGCACAGGGAGAGAGAGAGGAGAAGTAGCAGACTCCCCTCTGAGCGAGGATGCCCACATGGGGCTCTGCCCCCCACAACCCCAAGATTATGACCTAAGCCAAAACCAAGGTTCAGAGCCCAACCGAGTCACCCAGGAACCCCTCTTTTGGCTTTTAAATGGCGGTTGTAATTGGGAAATGTCAAGTGTTAGCTCTTGTTTGCTATTAGAACTAACGCTGTGAGTCTATAAGTATTGCTATAGGGTCTAGAGGTCTGTAGCAATCCAACTGTAATGCAAGCCATAAGAGCGATGTAAAGTTTCCTAAATAAAAAATAATAAAATAAAAAAGAAACAAGTGAAATTAATTTTAATAATATATTTTATTTAACCCATGCAGTTTCAGGTGTAATCCATTTGGTAAGTTAATACTGAGATATTTTGAATTCTTTCATGCTTAATCTACAAAATCTGGTTTTTATACTTAGAGTACATTTGAATTCAGACAAGCCACATTTCAAGTGCTCAGTAGCTACATGTAGCTAGCAAATGACTTGGACCTTATTGGGCAGCACATAGCTATAGGATTACTGTATGATTTTTAAGATGTCTTCCTACCCTGAGAGTCTGGGTTAAGTCCAGGGGGGTAAGTTTAAAAACCCTTTTCCTAAAGTGCTGTGATACTCAAACTGAGAAGTTTGTATGGCAGGAAGAAGGTTCCAAGAAGTCTCTTCTTCTTAGTGTTGACTGTATTCACACTGAGGAGGATGAACAGGTGCCCCAGTGCACGTTTCATGAGGGTTGTAAGATGATTAGAATGCTCAGTCATTTCCTGAGGTGTCATTGTTACAGTTATTTATGTCTGCTTGTCAACAATGTGTCAAGGCCTGTGTGAATCTCTGTCTCCTTTACCTGTGGCTGTGAAGGAGGGAGAACTTGAAGACCTACAGGAAGATTGAACTTTACTGTGAACAGTTAGAGTTCCTGCTGTTGTAGACTTAATTTCTGAATCAGTTTCTGGTCAGTTTCAGGTATTTAAAGGTTAAGAGTTTTGTAAATATGCTCCTCTCTATGATGGCATTGCTTGTCAAAGGAAAGAGAAAATCTTTTCATTAAAATTCAGAAAGAAAGGGTATATTTTGGGGCTCTAAAACGCTGGGAGCCTGATTACTAGCAAACAAATAACACGTGTTTGGTGGTTTAGATAAATTTAAAAGGACGTAATGTCACTATTTTTTTTTAAGATTTTATTTATTTGACAGAGACACAGCGAATGAGGGAACACAAGCGGGGGAGTGGGAGAGGGAGAAGCAGGCTCCCCGCAGAGCAGGGAGCCCGATGCGGGGCTCGATCCCAGGACCCTGGGACCATGACCTGAGCCGAAGGCAGACGCTTAACGACTGAGCCACCCAGGCGCCCCGTAATGTCACTGTTTTTTAAAAAAAGATTTTATTTGAGAGAGTGAGAATGAGTGGGGGAGGGGGAGGAGAAGCCGATTCCCCACTCAGTAGGGAGCCCAAGGCAGGGCTCAATCCCAGGACCCCGGGATCATGACCTGAGGGAAATATATTGCACTTTTTATAGAAAACTACTGACATGCTGTCTAGGTATGTGCTTTAAGTTGTTTCTGCAACGGGGTGATTTGCATGGAACCATCTCTTGTTCAGAGTTGTTAAAACTGAAAGATAACTCTGTTGGAAAACTAATCCTGCAGCTAACTGACCTCAGTGAGATCAACAGGATCCATCATCATTCCTATCTCAACTTGTATATTCTTTTGTTTTTTAATTTTTAAAATTTTTTAGAGAGAGCAAGCACATGAGCAGGGGGAGGGGCAGAGGGTGAGAGAACCCCAAGCAGGTGCCATGGCCAGCTTGGAGCCAGACACGGGGCTCCATCTCAGGCCCTTCAGATCACGACCTGAACTGATCAGAAGTCACATGCTTAATTGAGCCACTGAGGCGCGCCTAGATTTGTATATCCTATTAAACTTCCCTAAATACTACTTTATTTGCACTATTTACATCTACACTGAATATTAAAATTCAGTGGCAAAATTCACCTGAAAGATTAATTAATATTTAATATAATCTAAGGAAAATGCCCCCTCCCCAACCTTTATGATATAAAGAAATCTTAAATTACCTGGTCAGTAAACAAAACTCCTCTGTAAAGTCTGGTCATTATAGATCTGGCACAGTGTTGGCAGTGTGTGGAGTATTAAAGGGTCAGAGACAGAACTGGGGAAGGAGATAGTGATTGGATGTTGCTTGTTTGGTGAGACATACATGCACATTATAGTAGGAGAATATGGTGTTTTCATTCGTATTTAAATCTAGATGACTGTCCATTGACACCATTTTAGTTGGATAAGAAAAATAATATCTTTTGTTCCTACAAATTAGTCTTAGCAAATTTTTTTTTTTTAAAGATTTTATTTATTTATTTGACAGAGAGAGACCAGCGAGAGAGGGAACACAAGCAGGGGAGGGGGAGAGGGAGAAGCAGGCTCCCCA